TATTTTATTAAAATATTTTTCTAAATAATATAATTTTAAGAAATATATATATTACTGATTGAATTCAAAATTTATCAATGCTTCACTTATAATTGTTTTTATTTTTTTAAAGTTAAAATCACTTTTCTATAATTTCTAATAATATTAGAATTATGAAATATTTTAAAACATTATATAGTATTTATATAATGGATGCAACTAATTTTAAGAAAAATAGCAGTAAAAAAATGAAATGCGAAAAAATATTTTCCGATTGATACAATATCTAACTATATTAATATAAGTTTTTTTTTTAACTACATACTTGAATACAATAAGAATTTTACCTGATAAAAATTTTAATTTTAATTGTAATTTTACCACTATCAAAATTTTAATTTTAATTTTTTTTAATTATTTTTTATTAATTATTTTATTATATTTGGAATTAACTAGCATTTAATAAAATAAAAAGCTTAATAGAATTTTAATAAGTAAATATTGACTAATTTCGGAATATGACAATAATATATCTTATATATATATATATATACATAAGAAATGTGATCTTTTTTAATAATTTATATTTATCTGAAATATGAAAAAAATTATATCACAAAAGGTAAATATTTTTTAAAAGTTATTAAATGTGATTAATTTAAATTTTATTTGCAAGTATGAATATCTACGCTTTTGACACAAGTTTTGCATTCAACGAAACAACACCAACGAAATTTGCATTCGCATCTTTCTTTGATAGTTGATTTTTGTGTATTGTAACCTCTACCACAACAAAGGAGATTACATCCATCCATGCCAGATGATGTTCTGTTGCAAATTCTTCCATGTGTACCTAATAAACATTATTTATTTTTCTTTAAAAATTTATATAAACTTATTTAATATTTTCGAAATTTCCGAAATAAATTATATAAAAAGATACATGTACATTTTTTAAAACATTGTATATATAAATATAAATAAGCATGTTCATACATATGTACAATGTTTGCATTTATGTGTATAATATTATATAGAACAAAATAGTTTTATTTTGAAATTAAAGATTTAACAAATTAATCGATTACAATTAAATTTTAAGATTATTAAAATTATAAATACACATTCTTAAAATTTTATAATATAAAATTAGAAAAAATTATTAAAATTTAATTTGTGCTTAAACTAATTTTATTTTTTATTAAAATTTCATTTTTAAAAAAAATGTTTACCTAATGATCCGAGTGTTTCATTAGGAAGACAATAATTTGGAGAGTCATCCAAATAAACTAAATCATTCGCTGTAGGTAACGAAAATCTTGGATCTCGCATAGATAAACGACCACGTCTGTTTACTCTGACTTCTGTTGCTCCATCGTATTTATCTAAAAGAAAATCACCTATAAAAACAATTAATTTTTCATGAAATTGTTACAAATTGTTAAGATAAAAATAATTTTAAATTTCATTTATACAGAATTTTGTTTTGCTATTGTTTATTTTTTTTCTTTTCACGATATTCATAATTTAAATGCTTAAAAGTTTTTTTTATACTTTAGAATTCATTTTTTTGGATTACTTTTAAGAAATTCTAAGACAGAAAAAAATTTATTTATTATATATTATTATATTTAATATATTTTAGAATTATAATAAATGTATGGAATATAAATAGAAGATATAAAAAGTAATATTTAAAAGTTATTCTATTATGTTTTTTATGAATAATTTAAATTATTGTAATATTAAAAATAGTTATAGTAAGAAAGACATACCAATTTCTCGAAATGATGCAAGTTGCTGCCAGCAAGTAATTAAGCTGCAACTTCCAGAAACTCCATGGCACTTGCATGTTACTTTGGATCGTTTTATAACCGCCTTTAAAAAAATTATTGATTTAATAACGAACCAAATAATTTGACAATTAAAAATATTAATATGATATTTTATATATTTCTACTTTAATTATTTTTTGTCATTTTTTATTTGATAAAATAAAAAATTAATGAAAATGAAAAAATGAAATTTACCCTACGTCCAGCTTCATTATTATGAAGATTCATCAAACTTCTACCTTGTTCTCTGCTACCTCTTTTAAAGCTTCTTTCACGTTCTTTTACATCAACAAATGCTTGTGTAAATCTAACAAAAATTTAATCAATACAATATATGATCAAGTAAAAATTTACATAATTTTATAACAAAATATTTACTATTAACAAATTGAAGATATAAATCAAAATCAACAAATATTTTTTCAGATCGATTTTATTAAAAGATTTCCATCTATAAAAGTTAATATTTTTAGTAGAAAATGATGTAAAGAATTAAAAAATTCAATTAAACAAAGTAATTTATTTCTAATACTTACTTATAACCGTATTCGAGATTATCCCCGCATCCACCCCAGATCCAATCTCGTTTTAGATCTCTGGGTCTGCTACTTCTAGAACAACCACACGAAGATAATTGTCCGTCTCTGCAAGATCGACTTATTGAATACACCACTCCTGCAGTTGTGATTGCATGAACGAATGCAGTTTCTCTACTCGCTATTAAAAATAATTATACATTATAAATTATATACAATTTTATACATAAAATTTTATATAAGTGATTTTTTTTCAAAAGCATTATAAATATTAACTTGAACTTCTATATATGAACTTCTAATTAGTACTAGTATTAGTTACAAAAAAATTATAATATACAATTTAATTTAATACTTAAATTAACTTATTTAATAATTAATCATTTAGTAATTAATCATGTAATAATAATTATTGAATTACAAATAATTGTTTAATTTTATATAATTTATAAATAGTAAATTTCTAAACTTTTATTTTCATTTAAAACATGTCTTTAATTGAAACAAATAATATGATAAAATCATATAAATGAGACGTATCTCGTTCTGACTGTTTTATAAACTTAATGATCTCTCTTTTATAAACTCTTGATCTCTCTTTCTTGTTTATAAGTTATCTGTTGATAAGGATGATGAAATTGTTGCATTGTAACATCTCTTGTTAAATATTTCAAAAAAAGAAATCATAAACCTTCAAAAGACATCTTTCTGTGTCTTCTGATCTCATTATGTTTAACGAGCAAATTAATAATTTTCTCTACCGTATAAAAGATTTATACCTATTCTAAGCATAGGTCCAAACACGGATTCATTAGAGACAGTGGAACAATTCCATCTTCGATCGTGGAATTGATGTTGACACTCAAGAATCCCAAATTTTGCACCCTTAGCCACACTCGGCATATGATCCACCGATAACTGACAAAGCTTTCCTTGGCCTTGCGAAAGACCTTTCAACCCGTGACAAATGCTAGACGCGGCTACGTCGTAAGTCTCCATCATTTGAGCGGTGTCCAATTGTGGATAGTGTTGCAAACCGATATTTCTGAAACGATAAAACAATATTATGTAAAAAAA